TTGACTTTAAATTGAGTCAGTTTATGATTTGCCATCTTAACTATCACATCTTCACTAATACAGTAGTAAACATTATATGCGAAAAGTTTTACTGACTGTCGATTTTGATAGTTATTGATCATTTAYGAATCCATAGTACAAAGAGCATTAGACGTGGCAAAGTTTATTTCAACCGCGAACAAAGACTAGCTATAAATTGTGTTTAGTCTTGCGAAAATGTACGTCGCTTAATGCGAGTCTTTTTCTGAGCAATAGGGTTTTTATACTGTTTATATAACGTTCTGTTGATATTACAATTGAACGCAAAATTAAGCTCCCTGAAAAGAAAAATAATCGCTGGAAAAACTCGTGACATTGAAACGTTTGTGGAAATTTTCTTTTTAGAATGTTTAAAAAGACAATTTCAGCCTGCATATCGGCTTTGTTTGGTAATAGTTGATGATTATTATTCAACGAAAACCTGAATATCGTCGGATTCCTTTCTTTAAGAAATTAAATTTAAGAAATTTCATGTTCATTTTCGTAAAACGTGATCAGTAAAAATGAGAAAGGTTCATTTCAAAACGGCTGTGGCTGGAATTATAACGTATAAGAATAAATAAAAAATGTATAATATGTCACAGCAAAATCTTGCCTCTTTGATATCATATATATAAGTTAGCACATATGTATTCCTCCTTTTCTTAAAAATAGATAGATTAAAACAGAATTCAAAATTATGGTTTAAATTGGAACAGCTCTTTATGTCACAATTTTTCCTTAACCTCACTTAAAAAGAAAGAAATTAAAACTACATTTTTAATTTACAAATTACAAACCTATTACTTTTTATTCTTTACACAGAAGAGCTATAATTTCAAAAAAAAAAAATGAGAATCATTATAATTAAAATGCGCTCTAATAATTGATCGATATTGTCAGTTTTCTGTCTCATCCAAGAAATACAAAAACACAAAAAAAGCAACTCAATTATACGGCCTTTGAGACAATTTTTGTTTATGTATACAGTACTGCCATTATGCTTTCGAATGTATACGCTAATTACCATTTACTAAATGAAAGAGAAGTAATTGTTAGCTGTTTATAAGCACATCCAGTGCCTCTGGCTTAAACAAAAATTAATTCGATTTTAAAAGCGTGGACATGGATGGCATTTGTCTTAAAGACCAGCCAGAAACACGATATCTACTCGAAGTTGTAAATATTAAAAAATCGCGAAGAATAAGTACTTGAAATGTCTAGTTGCAGGTTGTGTTCTGACAATCTGTGTACAGGCGTTGTCCGTTTTTACACAGAGCGCAGTCTCTTCTCGTCAAAGTTGTGGTGTTATTGTAGTTGATGCGGGGAGTACAGTGTATTACGGTATACTCAGTCAGGTGTAAGGCTGTCAAAAACACAGCCATGTATAGTGGTAGCTACATGGTGTTAAAAGATCAATTCATATTCAACAATTCCTAATCATTGCGCTCTTTGTGTTATCCACACAAAAGATGAATCGAATCTGGCAAGCGTTGAAGTTTAATGTATATTCAGTCGAATATAAAACCGCTAAAAAAAATATTTATTAACGATCAAAATTCACCGAACTTCACCGATATTTTCGTTATTGATCTTGCCAGGAAGTGAATCGAATCTGATGCGAGTGATTCATTCTTCGATTTCACGGAACTCTACTTGTCCCACCTCAACAAACCCAAATAGACTTTCGTCTCCCGCTGAGCTTCTAGCAGTGCTCTCGTTCTCGACAAGGGGTTCATGGTTAGGGGGAAGAGAAATAGATGGTTGTGATATAGTGGCGTCCTTAACACAGGGGAAGTAGAACAATGGCCGTAAGGTGATCGTTCTTACCCCTTCCTGACAAAAACGAAAGGGAGTATGGGAATATGTACATAGCTCAGTGACAATGAGACCAAAAGTCACTTTCTTTTCACAATGCCCCCCCCCCGTCTTTGCACACACCCCGACTCTACTTTTACAAAGCACTCATCTTACATACCCAATACACTGTCCATAAAACATGACTATTTTTCAACACTTTCTTCACATTTTCCGAGACTTTCTATAATTCATATTTTTCAATGATGTTCCAAGTTTTGATCGTTTTATTGGAACAGCTGAAAGCTTCTAAATCAGAAATTAACTGATGTCGAGTTGTTCAGTATTTTCATACGGAGAACTTGTGTCATCTAAACTGTTTACCAGTAGAGATTTTCCCTGTATACTCGAGGCATGTGTTAACAAAATGGACGCACATAGGTCTCAAGATGTGTTTACTATATATTTAGTTACAAATCTTGTGCAAAATAACGTGAAACACCGTCTGTGAGTGTGTTATTACACCTTCCCCTCCCTGTTTGCAATGTTATTTTCAAAATCGCCCAGAATGATCAAGGAACAAGTGTCCAGCAGTTGAAAAAGGGTGCACAAGGTCTTCCGTTTGTTTTGCAGAATATTGTAGCTTAAACTGCACCCCTTGCATTTCATTGTAAAGTAGCTTCATTTAGGGGACAAAACAATGGATTCTAGTTCACAAAGAGAGCAAAAATCGTTTGTTTTGCTTGACAGATATATGAAGCTGCTTTGACAATTCATATACAAAGTGTTTCTGATAATATTGACGTTTCTATCCACAATCCTTTTCGGTCTATTTGTATACGGTCTAGACAGTCGTCATACAAAAAATCAAAAGAAACTTCAAATCAGCTTTCACTTTATTTCAAATTTCAATACTTTTTATTCAAAATTGAGTAATTTCATGCATTTTCTTGCAAAAAAGTTTTATGTCGTGGGTTTTATTTTTTTTACTAATAATTGACACTGAAAACTTTACGAAAATTACGGTTGAATTGCGGTATGAACGTCATATAAGTATTATATATATATTTGTTAATATTTTATTAATATTATAGTTATCAGTTATAGTTTATTACAATTCATATATTATTTATGTTTTTTACAATTTATATATTATTTATTTGTTAAACATCTTCGTATTGTTTTCTCTCTTATTTGAAAATGAAGTTGATGTCTTTGATAGCAACTGATCTCTTCTTTGACAACATTAATACATACTTTTATAACGTTAATTTATCTTTTCTTAGTTTATGGTTCCCATGTATTCATTAAAGCAAAGAATGATGAAAATGGGCTTCCTGTGGACGATATTGCATGTTCGTACCCAGGCCCAACTCAGAATGTTGGTAAGTTAATCGACGAGTACCAAATGATATCTTGTCAGCGCATGCAAAGTTAAAACAAGTATTTTGTATGGGGATAAATAAGACAACTGACATATCTCGAGTACTGATTTTCTTTTAACTCCAACTGTAAAAACCTTTTTCCCAATGTTGAGTTTTGTTTATTTTGAGTTGTTTTAAGAACAGAATGATTCACGCGCTACGATTTGCCTTTATCATTAAAAAGACACATGTGAAAAACGACGTTTTTTCGTATTATGAAGAGGCACATGTAAAAAACGACGTTGCTGCTTTCATATTATAAAAGGCTCACCCGAAAAGCGACTTCTTAAAGGAACTTAATGTAGTTATATGTGATTGGGAATACACAATTCAATTTGTAGGGGGCTGATGATAATGATGGCGGCTGTCCCGGTTCTTTTCGGGTCAACCTTGCCAGCCCGCTTCATAAAGTCAGTCCCTATATCGTAGATAACTGTTTCATTTTATACAAGGACTGGTTGTTGCGGTTTTCATTCAGTTTGACACGTGTTAAAACCGACGTTTTTTTCGCATATATATTTTCCGTATTTGGACGGTAGTTGAGGATACTTTTGTTTGATTTTCACCAGGAATTCAGTATTTCGTTGCAAGCCATAGACTGAAGTTTTTATAATGTAAATGACTCTACCGAATGGTTTATTCTTTACTAATCCCATATAAAGATCACTGGTCGCAAAAAGCGACGTCTTTTAACGGATTAAAGGGGGTTGTGAACGATCATCTCACTGTTGGTTTACAAATCGCAATTTGATTGGTAGACTGGAGTTAATGTCAATCAGTGTAAGGCTTTACTCCTTCATCTCGTGTAGGTAGTTATGACGTCTGAGATCAACCTTCCTGAAGAAGGAAACACCGCACTCACGACACGAAAACGGTTTGAAWCCCTTGTGCTTGCGGCAATGAGTGATCAGRTTAGAAGACTGACTAAATGACTTTCCACAAAACGTGCAGAAATGCGGCTTCTCGCCCGTGTGTGTGTATGTATGTTTCTTCATGTCGGATTTCTGGTGGAATTTCTTGCCGCAAAATTCACATTCAAACGGACGCGTATCGGAGTGAATAAGCATGTGCGTCGAAAGTGTCGAAGAACGCTTGAAACTTTTCTCACACACGTGACATTGAAATGGCTTTTTCGAGGAATGAACGATCATATGCTGCTTGAGACTGATTGAATTATTGAACAATTTGTCACAAATGGCGCATGAGTAGAAGCGTTTTTGTGAACGCTGACCACTTGATATTCTCCCTTCGGTCGGTGAGGGACTCTGATTGGCTGAGACCGTGTCAGATTTCACCGGTGACGTCATTGGGCCGGAGAAATTATTAAAGTAACGAAAGGGATTTTGACCATTCAAGGCTTGTCTTGTTTCTGCCCAGTGTTGCATCCAGCGAGCAAAGGATTCTGGTCTATCTTGGGTAGCTGGTTGTTGATATGGCCAAACCGCAGGCGATAGGATGCCCGCGCTGCTTGCTGGGATGAACAGAGGGCTGTTCTTAAAATAGCTATCCGCCTTTGGGTACTGGAAATATGCTTGCGAGTAAGCTAATGATGAAACGAAACAAAATAATCAATAATCCAAATAATAAACTGAAATTAGGTAATAGAATTAACGCTTGAGGAAGCCAATCAAATGGGTTTATAGTTAGTAATTTAGAAATTGCAAAATAATAATGTCATACTGTAATTTCTATGCATGTTGACTTTAAAAAAGCAAAGAATTATTTGAATTTTCTTAGAATTGAATGAGCACATCAAAGCCAATTCTCTGAAGTTATTAGGCTTATATAAACACGTCTTCTACATAMGAGCTAAAAGGAGTACTCATTTACCTTGTCCACCGCCCTCTGCCTTGACCGTGTTCACAATATTCTCATTTTCATCAACGTTGTGTTCCTCTGCACTTTCCCGTTCACTTTTCACTTTCTCCTCTTTTTTAATCTTCTTTTTTTCTTTGTAATTTTGAACAATTTCTTGAAAAACGCTTTCTTTTTTGCTGCAATTTTCATCGTATTCTAGAAAAAAATATAAATAATATTGCAAGTTAAAGCGTTATCAATGATATTGACAGCAGGTGGTAGTATAGATGAATTTGTTTAATATTCAAATGATGAACTCATTAAGATGCATCTCACGGATTAAGGTGGCAAATGTGAGGAAGCTGCTTCATCGCAATTGATAAGGCGGATTGATTTTCATTACAACTATCAATCATCAGTTATCATGAGCTAGTAGTAGATGTAGATTGAGTGCAGTAATTTKTTATTGTATAYCMRGTCAATYTTTTGAGCGAAAWGGACGTTTACACTTGGATTTCGACATCGCTTTGATCGCCATTTTGTTTTCCTTTGCCCACATGATATCAGTTGATACCCTAGTAATTGAATAGCCAATTAGAGCTTGAGTTTGCTCATATCCAATGCTTTGATACAATAATGACGTTTTGCAGTGCAATCCAGTTTGTAACGAATCGATTCTGATTTTTAGTGACTCTGATTTTTGCCACTTTTGACAGAAGTTCTCTCTTAAAAAGTGGTCTAAAAAGGATCTTCCAGTAGATACTGAAGTTATGATATGATCGATTTGCAGGCTAAAATCTCACTATTGAAAATATTTATACATGCGAATACTTAATTTTGTTGTTACGCTATCTTCTCAATCTTCACCGTCAAAGTTTCTAGAAGCGTCAATAGCTGCACGTATTGCATTGGAAAAAACCCAAACTTACGTTATTATTTATTCATTGTTTATTTTGCTTTACTTGGATTACAAATCTAGAAGTTTCAATGCTGATTTTTTTGGTTCAAAGTTAAAATGTGTGGCGTTGTAGTTTTTGTTTTTTTACATTGAACAAGAAAATGCACAGCGACAATCGCCACCATCTTGGATTTCACTTAAGAACAACACAAACAAACTGGAAACTTTGCAAATAACCATTCCGATAGCTCATTAAAGGCTCTAACCTTGTATTAACAAGCAGAAATTAAAGTTTTCTACGACATTGTGGCTATATTAGGCATTTTAAATCAAATTTCTTGGAGAAGTATTACAAAAAATGATCGCCATTTTGAAAACTGTCGCTCTAGTTCGAGATCTTCCTAAATTCAAGGTCTTTAAACCCAATATTTTCCCAGCATCTCATTTATTACAATATTTCAAATGAAAACTTAGATTCCTGAAGCTTATTTCTCAGTAATTGTTGTAAAGCTTCCAAGTATTTATGAATAATAGAAAAGCCTTTCTTTCACCTTGATTTGTGATTTTGAAATGTTTTTTTCCCGAATTAAAGAACCGACACTATTTCCGCAATTTTATTCATCTAACTATGACATTAGATCATTAAGCAATCTGGAATAACTGCTTCGAAGTTAACAAAGCTTAAAAAAATTACATTATACAAGTCAAACATCAGAATGTATTGGTGGAAAATTCAAGAATCTCAAAGTAAACTGATTTCTTCTGAGATGAATATCCCAAAGCACTAAAATTTATTCATGCCAACTTTGTACAAATATTTCTTAGCAAGTTTAAATCATTCAAACTTATTGGCATTTTTTGATAACAGTTAAAACAAATATATTTAATTTAGTTTTGAGATAGATTGCTTTCTAAGAGTGAATTTTGAACACTTTCTTTACAAGAGTATTTGGCTAAGATTGTCAATGAACATTTTTGAGTGACAATACGTCTGCGTGAAACAACTAGCTATAAAGGGATAATTTAAGAAATGTGGCTTTCTTGCCAAAGCAAAGCAAAAGCCAAGCATGTATTTTAATCCCGTAATTAGAGTTTTTTGCTAAAATGACTTCATTTAATCCTACAAAAGGAATCGCCGGTGACACTTCACTCGCAAGTATGGTMCGACTCGTTGGGAAGGACTCTCCACCTCAAAACATAAGTCATGTTCAGCACAAATAACTGATGTACAAATTTATCAAAAATGCTTGTTTTGGGCTGGCAGTGGTGTGTTTTTGAGTAAATGTTTGGTGCGTAAAATAAATCTAGTTGGTACAACATGGCCACAGGCGCATAAACAGTTTGCGAGTGCATAATTTATTGATTGGTTTGACTGTTATTTGCAAACAGCCAGTCTTACTAAAGTGGTAGCTAAAGACGTTCAAACAAAGTTTTCTTCTCTGAATTATCTCGGAAATTCAACAATTATAGCAAGCATTCAGAAAATCGAGTCCATGACGAAGAACTAAAGTCAGCGGTGTTTGTAAAATTTGATAATCTTTTCAACTGATTTGTAAATCACAAGCCTGKTRTATTGAAAAAAGATGTTGGATTTAAATTCTAAATGATAATTACATCCATAAAAAACTCGTTAATATCCTACTTGTATTGTCAAAATTAGTCAGTCTAGATTTTTTCTCTTCAATTCATACAGGCTTTTTAAAGTATCTCCTTATTTAAGTAGCAATTAAGTTTACTAATCGACAGTAAACAGGGCTATGTTCAGCAAAAAAGGCTTCTCGAGACATTTTAGCGTTGACAGAAGTCCTATACTTATAAGCAACTCTCTTTTTTCTTCAAACCTATACCTTATATTTATAAACAGATCGTGAACTATGCTTGACTATTATCTACTCTTCTAGTGTCTGCAAAAATACAAAATTATTTGCATCCCAAAATTGGTCCGCTATTTGCTGTATTCCAACGTGATTAAAAATTGATTTGAGGGCACACCCTAAATGTTGTTGTGTCTTTATATTGCATGATACAATCCCTATGATTAGAACATACAAACAATACTTTTCACAACTTAAAAACTCTTTTATTTCTCAGAATAATACTATGTTCACTATACGTAGATAAATGGTGGCCATGTTTTGAGAGTTTACACAGAATTAAAATTAGCTGTTATCTGAAAAACACTAGGTACAATCTGTCTGGAGTGGGCGGCAAGTGCTGAAGTTTTGTATAACTCTTCTTTCGAGATGGAAATCTCGGTCGCGAATGAGATATATATTCAAATAGTACGACACATTAGAAATATCAAATATACTTCATAGAGGTGTTTGGATTTAGATTTTTCTCATTATATTTATCATATGTTTGCTTAATTTTTTCTCTCTTTTCCACCGTGGGCAATTCCACCAACTATCGAACTTTCAGTGGAGCCATGAACAAATCTTAACTCTGATTATAAATATCGTATTTCCTGCTGAAATAACGGTAGTTTTTAAGCAAAACGTGCTCCGTGTTTGTGTATTTAACAGTGAGAGTCTTGAACACGAGCCAAGTTCATTAAGGCGAACGTGCCACGGATGGCATTTCTGCGAAGCAGTTGGTCGCTTTGCCTGATTGAAAATCCAAACTCCAGATTTGCTTCAATTACACTCTCCGCTGTGCAGGATACAGATTTATTATAATTCCCTTTCCTGTTTAATTTGATTTAAACTTTAGGTTCTCATTCCTTGGGTAGTTTTATTGTAAAATGAATGTTTGAAGATTTCTATTTTGGGGAAATACGGCACCTGTCCATTTTAGAGTGCTACAAACTGTTACAGCCTCCCCTATCAAAAATCATGTCCTTTTTTAAAGACATCAAGATAGAAATGATAAGATAAGGTCCTACGATGGAAATGCTTCGAGAACTTTTCTATTTTTCCTATAATAATAGATTTATAAAGAAGACAAAACCAAAGTCCAGCGCACTTTTCACATTTAAAGTAGACCCACAAGTACCGGGGACGTGAATTTTTGTCTATTTGCTCGAGAAACGAGGTATTTTTTATGGAATTTACGCTTATAAAAGACTAACCTTGAAGTTGTTTGCTGTTTTGAAGAAGTGAATCAGTGCTTTGACGTATAGTAGTTGAACAGGGAACATTGCCATGTTTGTCGGCTCTCTTGTCTTGCGATTCATATTCCTCTCCTCGGATCTCCTTTCCATTGCTTTCGACTTTTTTCTCTTTAAGAAWCAAACCATTTTTGCCATTTAAACATAACGTTGTCTTTATCCTAAGTTAGCTAATTTATATTTATCAGAATATTATGTCCTTTAGACTSAAAACAAACGAGAAAAACTACAACAGGGTCATTTACAAACCAGTAAACAACGACCCTAGCATGTACCACAAGCTTACACTAGGTCGACTWCAGGTAGCTTGTAACGCGGGTCACTGCACAAGAGCTAAGSCACACATTTATACTCCATCAAMATTTCWCCATATCAGTGCATTTCTGYAATAAATAGAAGACACCTACCTTGTTGCTGTGATGGGCTAATTTGAAGATCTCCCTCGGCAGAGTTAGTCGATCTAAACCGTACTAGRAACGAACGCGGCATAATCTCTTCTTGAGGCACAAACCGGTACACCCAATTTCTGTATAAAACGGTGTAATCTTTGAGAAAGCTTCAAATGATTCGGTAGAAATAGTTAATTTCTGAGCTAAACGTCTTTAAGMAARACAGATARAATTCAAAATTCTTRAAATCTTTACCTTCAGCACGGTTATGTCGTGAATAAGTACAAAGTAGGTCTAAGTTCTGTATGTTGAAGGAGTTTTGCTAGCTAGCTATATGAAGGTATAATCATCTATGATATGCTTGGATTAGGGATTCCTGATTGGAAGATCTGTATAAGTCATTTGCATGTTTTCCCAAAGGCTTGCGCAATGGTTATTCTAGTGAGGGAATTTCAGTAAAACGACCATCGTGAATAATTTATCGAATGGGAACTCCTCTGGAGTAAGATTATTGAGAATAAAAGTGCAAAGTTGTACTTTAAAAAAACACTGCGCGAAAGCAAAATCATAATGATCGATTTTATTATCGCTTTTGTTGCGTTTTGCTTCAAAGTGTCGCCTCTTTGAATCAAGAATTACCAAAACAAGATTTCATTCAGARCTGGTATTASYYYT